CCCAGGAGGAAGAGCTGAGATCACACCTCTGCACTCCAGTCTGGGGAACAAGAGCAAGACTCCATCTCAAAAAAAAAAAAAGAAAGGCGGGGGGATATGTATGAATAAACGCACAAGATCCTATATACATGTTAGTCATAACTGTATCCAAGGAATAAATGCGTTAATATTTTTACAGAATAACAAACCCAGAGAAACACACAGATCACTGTGCACAGATCAAATGATAAATCTCTGTGTCTAACTTTTCCAATAAATACTGAGTATCTCTGACATTTTCAGTGTCCTAAAATATTTTTAAAAGAAACAGCAGAATGAGATGAAGGTAGAAAGGAAATGCTTTCTTTTGGGGGAGGGTGTAAATGGAACAGGGTGCAAGGAAAAGATGAAGTTGTTAAGAAAGGGAAAAGTAAGAAGAAACATAAGAAATACCAAAAGAACATTTAAAACTAGCTTAAGGAACACAAGGAGAAACAGCATAAAGATGAGATTACAAACGGGACTACTGGGAAGAAGTTATATCCAAAAATGGTGCGCATATCTCATGCACTGTAAGTTAAAGTATCAACTGGTACAATCTCCATGGAGAGTAATTTGGCACTTACAAAATCAGAACTCCATTTCTAGAATTTATCCTACAATTTGCACTTGTGCACTTGGTAAAAGTTATATAAACAAGATTATTCATTTTTTTAAATGTTTATTTTAAGTACAAAGAACTATCATGCTCCTTCATTGGGTAGATGCCTTGGATAATCCTTTGAAGGAAGATTATTTAGTCCAACTTAATGAAAGCAATATCCTTCGCATACTGAGGAAAACACTGGCGGCACATATTGAGGCACATCAGACCGTGCCGGTTTGAACAGACACGACAAGAGCTAGAACCCTGGCCGAATTTTCGCGAGTGGCTCCAGTACAGCTGCTGGTGACCCATCTTGCTCTCAGAGTGCACCGAGGTAAAAGGTATTCATTGTTTTATAACAGCAACAAATTGGAAAAATCCAAATGTTCATCAATAATAGTTAAATACATTATTGTATACCCATAAAACGGGATACTATGCAGATGCAGAGAAAGTGACTACATGATAGGAAATTATCTCATATTAAAATTGTTTAAAATCGAGATGTTGAAGTATGTACAGCATGCTACATTTCTGTAAAAAAAAAAAAAAGGAATATATAAGCGGACTTGCTTCTATATGTATAGAGTATGTCTAGAAAGATATGCAAAATGGCAACATTAGTTGCCTCTGTGGAGAAGTTGGTGGCTGGGGCCAAGGATGCCAGGCTTTCCAAATGTATCTTTTCTGCCTCTTGAATTGCGAACCCTGTGGCTGTATTATCTGGTCAAATAATTTTTTTTAAGAAAATTACGTCTCAGAATTATAGCTACACAGTGGTAGCTCCCAGCTGTCACAGGGGGAAGGAGGAGGAGAGGAAAGAGGATCAGGTGACCCAGCACCGCCAAGCAGAACTTTTCAAGGCCTGTTAGGCCAACCAGGGTGCGTGACTTCTTCAAGACCCGAGAGCTGAGAATGAATAAACATGTCCATCAGCAGATGAATACAGAACTTGTAGTGGATAAGGGAGACTGAGAAGGCAGGCAAGTTAATCCGGCCGGCGCAGACTAAATTACTAGGGGCACAAAAGGGCCAGAGCACAGAGCCAGCAGAGGGAATCCAGCTCCTCTCCTGTGCCAAGGCAGCTCCGCTCCAGTCCCGCCCCAGCTCCGAGCTCCTGCCCATGTCAACTGACCTCGGATGGGCTTGTCGTCCTTCTCATCCTCTTTGGTCTTCCGCTGATCGGCACCGAGGTAATCCGGCATTTTAGCAGCTCCAAATGCCTCCTCTCCTTAATGATTACACAGCACCTTCCTTGCTTCCGGTGGTGTCTTCCCTTTCCCTTCCCCACCGGAAGTATATTGGGCTCAGGCGGGCCCCTTTACGCAGTGCTAGAGAGTCCGGAGAGAGCGCTGGGGGAAACGCTGTGGCACGCTGATTTTTGGACTGATTACCTGTGAAAAGGAAACTACAGTGTTTGTAAAACGCCTGTCATATTAGACACAATAAGTAGTGGCCACATCTACAAACAGTGAAGGTAATCTATTTCTGGTAAAGAGTTAATATCCAGAATATTTAAAGAACTCCTATCCTACCACCCAAGAAAACAACCTAGTTTTTTAAATGAGCAAATAACCTTAATAAACATTGCTCCAAAGAAGATATACAAATGGACAACATCACTGTTAAGGAAATGCAAATCAAAACCACAGTTGGATGCCGCCACACACCCATTAAGATAGCTATTATTAAAAACAAGCAAAAACAAAACAGGAAATGAGTGTCGGAAAGGGTGACCCTTGGTTCCAGCAGACCCATGCGTGTGCTGCTGGATAAAATGAAATCCTGGTGCACTGTCGATGTAAATGTAAAATGATAAAATAGTGCAACTGCTGTGGGAAACAGTACGATGATTCCTCGGGAAATTAAAAATAGAATTACCATGCCATCTGGCAATTCGACTTCTGGATATGTATCCAAAACAATTGAAAACAGGATCTCAAAGAGGTATTTGTGCATCCATGTTCATAAGCAGCATCAGTCACGACACCCATAAGGTGGAAGCAACCCAAGTGTCCATCTACGTATGAATGGACAAACAAAACGTGATGCACGCGCACGCGCGCGCGCGCACACACACACACACAGATACTATTCAGCCTTAAAAAGGAATGGAATTCTAGTATAAGCTACAGCACAGATGAACCTTGAGAACATTACGCTAAGAAAATAAGCCAGTCACAAAAAAGACAAATACTATATGATTCCACAAATATGAAGTACCTAGAGGTGTAAGATTCCTAAAGACAAAGTAGAAGGATGGTTTCCAGTGGAGAGTTTTCTCCACTGGTATAGAGTTTCAGTTTGGTTTGTTTGTTTTTCGAGACGGAATTTTGCTCTTGTTGCCCAGGCTGGAGTGCAATAGCTAAATCTTGGCTCACCGCAACCTCCGCCTCCCGGATTCAAGCAATTCTCCTGCCTCAGCCTCCCGAGTAGCTGGGATTACAGGCATGCGCCACCACGCCCAGCTAATTTTGTATTTTTAGGAGAGACAGGGGTTCTCCATGTTGGTCAGGCTGGTCTCGGACTCCCAACTTCAGGTGATCCGCCCACCTCGGCCTCCCAAAGTGCTGGGATTACAGGCATGAGCCACCATGCCCGGCAGAGTTTCAGTTTTGTAAGATTAAATGGGTATAGAGTTTCAGTTTTGTAAGATAAAAATAGTTCTGTAGGGTAGTTGCACAATAATGTGGATGTACTTAACATTACTGTACACTTAAAAATGGTGAAGATCGTAAATTTCATGTTATGTGTATTTTAGAACAATTTTTTTAAAAAACAAAACCCCCAGCCGGGCACGGTGGCTCACTCCTATAATCCCAGCACTTTGGGAGGCCGAAGCGGGCGGATCACGAGGTCAGCAGTTGGAGACCAGCCTGGCCAACATGGCTAAACCCCGTCTCTACTAAAAATACAAAAATTAGCTGGGCGTGGTGGCACGCACCTGTAGTCCCAGCTACTCGGGAGGCTGAGGCAAGAGAATCGCTTGAACCTGGGAAGCGGAGATTACAGGGAGCCCAGATCGCGCCACTGCACTCCAGCCTGGGAGACAGAGCAAGCCTCCGTCTCAACAAAACAAAACAAAACACCCTATGACCTTAGAGTTAATGGTAAAACTCAATGGGAGGAGGTGTGAGGAAAAACATATATTAATATGACGAAAGTGGAGTCAGGTTACTTTGCACCTTGGAGCATGTTTTAACAGTGGTTGCATTAACAGGGATCAGGAAGAGGTTTGGGGGCACAAGATTAGTTCAATTTTTTTTTTTTTTTTTTTTTTTTTTTTAAAGACAGGGTCTCACTGTTACCCAGGCTGGAGTGCAATGGTGAGATCTCGGCTCACTGCAACCTCCACCTCCCGGTCTCAGCGATCTTCCCACCTCAGCCTCCCTTAGTTCAATTTTTGAAATGTCAAATTTGAAGTGACGATTTTATAATGCAGCAGATATACAGGTCAATTAAATGTATTTAATTGGCCTGGAACGGTGACTCACGCCTCTAATCCCAGAGTTTTGGGACACTGAGGCAGAACGATCCCTTGAGGCCAGGAGTTCAAGACCACCTTAGGCAACATAGTGAGACCCTGTCTTTCTCTCTCTCTCTCTCTTTCTCTCTCTCTCTCTCTATATATATATTTAAAAAGTTGCTTAATTGTGAAAATATAATGAAATTAGTAAATTAGAAGATAATTTACTAATGTCTGGTGGTCCTTGCTGAAGAATGGCACATGAAGTTTATTTTATTGAACGTGTTTCAGATACTGCTGTTGGGGGTGAGCCTTTACCCCCAACTGTTTTTTGTTTTTCTAGTTTTTGCTTTTAACTACAGTCTTAGAAGGAAGCTTATAGTAAGAATACAATTGATTTTATTACACATTAAACAAGTCCCAGAGTCCTCTGATTGGGAATATCTTGAATGAAAACTTCATTCCATTAGAACAGGGTAAAATATTGCTGGCCTTGGAATACAATCTAACACCAGAGAGAAGTTTCTTCTCCAAGTGAGTATTAAAATATATAATGCAGGTAAATTAGTAATAGCACGACAAATATTAGCTGCTATTATCATCATCAAGTTAAACACAAACGTATCACAAATACACGTACGTAATTCTCCGCAAATGTATATACTAGTCGTCGATACTGGTTCATACAGATATTTTCATTTTTTACTTAAAAGTGTAGCGTTCCTGGGAAAATCACTGATTAGGTTCAGGTTAACATATAAAGCAGTAAGAACTTTAAAATAAAGATAATATAAAAAGAGCTGCTTTTAAAGGTTATGTTCTATGTATTGCACAGGGACGTGGAATATAATCGTTTTCATAGGAAAATTAACGCGCCTAGGAACCATTGTCTCGTGCGACTTGGTCTCCAGCCGGATCTCAGTCAGTGTGGAACTAGGTTGCCGCACACGTTGGCGGGGGTAGGAGGGTGTCAGACTGCCCTCCGCACCACGGAAGATCCATCCCGGAAGTGCTTACTGGTCTCCATGCGCCGGTTCCTGGGCGTCGTAGAGTCAAGGCGCGAGGCTCGGACTGAGAGGTAGAGCTGGGGGGACCGTAAGCGCCCTCCGCCCGGGACGTGAATCGCTGCTCCCACTGGGCTAGACCCGGCGCCATCATGCTGCTCTTGCCAAGCCCCGCGGACGGCCGGGGCACCGCCATCACCCACGCTTTGACCTCTGGTAAGCGCCCACCCAACCCCGGCTCCTTCCCACCTCAGCCGCCCCTGCCTCAGTCCTCAGCCTTGGCAACCCTGGGCTGTCTCTACCTTTGACCCTGGCGACTAGCCCTGGGGCCGTGTGGAGCCGTAATGGGTGCGTTTTTGCTCCGTGTTTTAAAGTAATCCTACCCTAGATTAGAAGGAAGGAGGGTGAGGGGTGCCTTCCTTTTGCTCCTACCGTTGCTGCTTCCTTTCGCCGCTGCTGACTCATGGATTGGGCTGAACATTTCGGGACCGAACCCCCCAGTACCCCAGAAAGATTCACATAAGCCTCTCTTTGCCTACGGCGGAAAGACTACGCGCAGCCAGCACCCCACGTGCCTGGGGTCGTACAAAGCTTTGCTGCTGGCGGTCTCTTAAACACCTTTCTCCCTCTCTACGTTTGTTCCGGCATTATTTTTTAAATGTCACAACTCAGACACCGCTCCTCATATTCAGTGTTAAAAGACTGTGCTGCTGAAAAGATCCGCGTAGATTTTGAAAGGCAGTTATTACAAGTGAAACTTGTCCTGCTGCTGTAGGTTTTAGATTTATGGCCCAGTACAGTCATGATATTGTAAACTTAAGAGTCTCCAGTTCCAGTCATCTACAGTAATTCCCATAGCCAGGTACATAAGCGTTTGTTGAATGTGATTTTGAACATTACCCATGGCACATGTTGCATTTGTGTGTCTCCGTGTGCCTCTTACAACTAGAGGAAAAGGCTTAAAAGGCAGTGTTTTTAAAAGCCACACACACCCCGTACTACAAGGTAGTACCTTTTTGACAGTGTTTTAATCCTCTCCTCTGTAAGGTGGAGGAAATCTTAAACTAAATTTTTCAGGGATTTTCCTTTTTCGAATTGCTAATATACACATGTACAGTGATTTACCGCCATTTCCGAGGAATAGATGATATCTTTACTACAAGTTTTTAATTTCAGAGAGTTTTTATGGTCTCATTCAAGCTTCCTAGGAACTGAATGAGATAAATAGGTATTGTTCCCATTTTATAGGTGAAGACATCCTGATTCATTTCAGGCCACACAGCCACTGTCAGACCTAGTCTGAAACCCAGAGTGTCTGGTTTCAGATTGAGAGCTTGTTCCGCTACAGCTTAACTGCATTAGTAAATCCCCGTTTGCTGCTTGGAAAATTGTTTTCAGTACAAATTCTTGTTAGTGAATCCTTAAAATTTTTAAGAGCTATAGTTCAAGATTTTAATAAGTAAGATGGTTTGAGTTGGCTGGGTACGGTGGCTCACGCCTATAATCCCAGCACTTTGGGAGGTCGAGGTGGGTGGATCACCTGAGGTCAGGAGTTCGAGACCAGCCTGGCAAACATGGCAAAACCCCGTCTCTACTAAAAATACAAAAAAGTAGCCGGGCATGGTGGCGGGCGCCTATAATCCCAGCAATTTGGGAGGCTGAGGCAGAAGAATCTCTTGAACCCGGGAGGCAGAGGTTGCAGTGAGCCAAGATTGCGCCATTGCACTCCAGCCTGGGCAACAAGAGCAAAACTCCGTCTCAAAAAAAAAGATAGTTTGCGTTGCTTTTAGATTTTTTATTTTTGGTGAGGCTAGCTCTTCGTGACAATTTATCACTATTTATTACTTTATTAAAATTATTTGTCTGGGCGCAGTGGCTCACACCTGTAATCCAAACACTTTGGGAGGCCCAGGCGGGCGGATCACCTGAGGTCAGGAGTTCGAGACCAGCCTGACCAACATGGAGAAACCCCATCTCTACTAAAAATACAAAATTAGCGGGGCATGGTGGTGCATGCCTGTAATCCCAGCTACTCGGGAGGCTGAGGCACGAGAATCATTTGAACCCAGGAGGTGGAGGTTGCATTGAGCTGAGATCTCGCCATTGCACTCCAGCCTGGGCAGTAAGAGCAAAACTCCATCTCAAAAAAAAAAAAAAAAAAGTGAAAAGATAAAGATAAATAAATAAGATAATTCGTCTAAAAGTCAAGCAGTTTGCAACATTTCTTCCTGTTCCTCAGCTTACTCTCATATCCCGAGAAAAGTACTGATTTATTGTTGACATTACTAAGTTTTTTTATGTTGTCAGATAACTGGAAGAGGTTGATTAAATACTCTTTAATACTAGGAAAGGATAATTTCTTGTTAACCCTCATGTAAACTGGATGACTGCAATTATTAGTTGGTGGTTTTAAAAGTATATTCTTGTATCACTGTTTTGATTTTATTTCCTGAAAAAGTTAATTGCCTTGAAACAGATTTATTCCATGCAATACATTGAAGCCTCTCTTAACACTTTCAATCACAGCCTCTACACTTTGTCGAGTTGAACCTGTGGGAAGATGGTTTGAAGCTTTTGTTAAGAGGAGAAACAGAAATGCTTCTGCCTCTTTTCAGGAACTGGAGGATAAGAAAGAGTTATCTGAGGAATCAGAAGATGAAGAATTGCAGTTGGAAGAGTTTGCCATGCTGAAAACACTTGATCCCAAAGACTGGAAGGTATTTAATATCTGAATATTTTGTTCAGTCAGATGCTTTGTTAGACATAGTTTTCTTGGGAGTTTTCCATTAATAAACCGTGTTTTAAGATGGTTCAGCAAGATGACTATAATTTAGCATCTGTTTATTACTAAGTCTTGAGTGGGTTAGCACTAGCCATGAGATACTGTCTCTGCTGGAGAAATCCAGGAAGAGTTCACAGAAAAGATAATGTTTGCACTGGTCTTAAAAGGACAGGCGGCAGTTAGTGAAGCAGAGAAATGAGAGAAGTATTCTGGGCCGAAGAAGTAAGATATACAAAGACACAAAGGAGTAAAAGAATATGTAGTGCCTCTTGAGGGATCGATGAGTTGTATAGGGTACATGCAGTATGGTGGTGAGAAATCTAGTGTCCTTAAAATCTTTTGGACTCTAGACCAAACTCTGTTGTGTCCTTTTTACACCATGCTAAGGAAGGAATTAAAATTTATTTTGGGGATAGTAAGATGCCATCAAAAGTTTCTTAGCTAATTTTAGAAAAGTAATTCCCTTGGCAGTACAGAAAATTGCTTGAAAGGGGGCAAGGGACTGGAGGGGAAGTGAATAGTTTACTGTTATAGGGCTGGTGCACTAAGGCAGACCTGTGACTGAATCCTTGAACTTACTGTGTGGCTGGGTTTTGAGGAAGAAGGGTCAGATTTCCTTTTTTTGGAGGTAGAATTGATAGGCTTTGGTGACCCTGGCTGTGTGGCACAAGAGAAAGGGAAATATTCAGAGGTCCTCCCCAGCATTAGGGCTTGAGTGACCTGCTAGAGTGCGAGGTCAGTAACCAGTGCTGGGATGAGGATAAGAATGTTTGTGGGAGGTGCTGTTTGTGTCCAGGTTTGGCTATGTGAAGACTGAGGTTTGGTACCATAGTGGTGAAGCTGTCTAGTAGTTGGTTAGAAATTGGTCTATGACTCCAAAAAGAGGTTAGAGCCAAAGACTTTTTGAAGTCATTGGCACATAGCGGTGGTTGCTGTGGGGAATTGAATGACATCAGCAAGGGACAAAAGTATAAACAAATAGATAATGCTTTAGTAGCTACTTGTATAATAGTTAAATGTGTATGCTGTGGAATTGGAGTGCCTGAATTCAAATCTGGTTCTGCCATTTGGTGCACTTGGACCTTGGGAAAGTTCCCGGACATGTGTGTACTTCGTTTCCCTTGTTGCTACAGTGAGATTGTTACCAGCTCAGAGGTTTATCTTGAGGATTAATAAAAGGATGCTTATAAAGCACTTAAGTTAGTACTTGCCACATGATAAATGCCAAACAAATAATGGATAAAAAGAGTTCCTATGTCATTGGTTATTTAGAGGACTAAATGAGCTAAGGCATATGTATAAAACACTTGGAAAAGTAAGCACTCAGAAAGTGTTAGCTGATTCTCCCACCACCTCATCCATTTAAAAAAAAGAGAGAGACTGAACATTGAGGAGAATGGATATTTCCAGGGTAGGAAGAGGAGAAAAAACAGCAGAAGATACTAAGAAGGGTAACAGAAGTAGAAAGAAAACAAGGAAAAAGACACTTTGTTATTTGAAAAAAAGACTTCCTAAATATCAGGCACCGTATTCTTCCAGAAACTAAGGGAGGAGCAAGGGGGAAAAGGAGGCAGGGTGCGGTGGCTCACGCCTATAATCCCAGCACTTTCGGAGACTGAGTCGGGCAGATCACCCGAGGTCAGGAGTTCGAGACCAGTCTGACCAACATGGTGAAACCCCGTCTCTACTAAAAATACAAAATTAGCCAGGCGTGGCGGCGCATGCCTGTAATCCCAGCTACTTGGGAGGCTGAGGCAGGAGAATCGCTTCAACCCAGGAGGTGGAGGTTGCGATGAGCCAAGATCACACAATTGCACTCCAGCCTGGGCAACAAGAGCAAAACTCTGTCTCAAAAAATAAAAAGGGAAAAAGAGTCACGTGTGTCACTGCTTCAGAAAAAGGTCAATCACATAACATGAAAATTTATTTTAAAAAACATTGTACGGGACACGGTGACACATGCTTGTAATCCCAGCTACTCAGGAGGCTGAAACAGGAGAATCGCTTGAACCTGGGAGGTGGAGGTTTCTGTGAGCTGAGATCGTGCCACTGCACTCCAGCCTGGGCAACAAGAGCAAAACTCCATCTCAAAAAAAAACACAAAAAACATTGGATTTGACAAACTACTTCAGTGCTCTCATTGAAAGCAGGTTGAGTAAAATGATTGGGAAGGCAAGAGATTACAGTGGATGAGGAGTGATTAGAAAGTGATGAAGTAGGACCAAAGTGTAAAATACCCTTTCAAAGCTGGGTAGTAAAGAAAATGAGAGAAGATAGTAACTTGAGAAGAAGGCAGAGTCGGGAAAAGACAGAACTGGGGAGTGTCGAGATCTATAAGAGGGAGAAGGTCTTTGGTATAGAAAGAAGTAGATTGTATCAGAGTAAGGTAGCAGGGTTCATTCACTTGTTCGGTTTATTTTCATTCGTCAAATATGGATCAAACACCATGTCAGATACTGTTCTAGGTGCTGAGGATACTGTACTGAACAAGACAGTATTACTGCTTCCACATAGCTTATATTCCAGTGACACAATAAGTAAAACAAGAACATGTAGCCGTAAGTGCCATAGGATGACCATAAGCTATCAGCAGGTGCTAAGAGAAAAAAGGGGTCTTTGGTCAAGTAGGTTTGGAAAATGCTAGGTTTTACAGGTTTCCGTTTATTTTTTAAATCTAATTACAGGACTTCTCAGAGCCTTTCTTAGGCTTTTGTGCCTATAAATCATCAAGGAGGCTATATAATAGTCCACATTTACCCTTTTTAAAATTTATATTTTATTTTATTTTGATACAGAGTCTCACTCTGTTGCCCAGGCTGGAGTGCAGTAGCGCGGTGTCTGCTCACTGCAACCTCCGCCTCCCAGATTCAAGCAATTCTCCTGCCTCAGCGTCCCAAGTAGCTGGGATTACAGGCGGGCGCCACCACGCCCGGCTAATTTTTTGTATTTTTGGTAGAGACAGGATTTCACCATGTTAGCCAGGCTGGTCTCAAACTCCTGACCTCATGATCTGCCCACCTCAGCCTCCCAAAGCACTGGGATTACAGGTGTGACCTAGCACGCCCTGCCTTTTTTTTTTAAAGACAGGGTCTTGGCCGGGTGCGGTGGCTCACACCTGTAATCCCTTGACCCTTTGGGAGGCCAAGGCAGGTAGATCACCTGAGGTCAGGAGTTCGAGACCAGCCTGACCAACAAGGTGAAACCCTGTTTCTACTAAAAATACAAAAATTAGCCGGGCATGGTGGTGTGCACCTGTAATCCTGGCAACTTGGGAGGCTGAGGCAGGAGAATTGCTTGAACCTGGGAGAAGGAGGTTGCAGTGAGCCAAAATGGCACCATTGCACTCCAGCCTGGGCAACAGAGCAAGACTCTGTCTCAAAAAAGTAAAATCTTAAAATCATTTAAAAAAAAAAAAGAAAAAAAGGGTCTTGCTCTGTTGCCTATCCTGGGTGCAGTGGCATCATCACAGCTCACTGCAGCCTCTACTTACCAGATTCAAGCAATCCTCCTATTTCTGATTCCTGAGTAGCTGGAACTGCAGGTGCACACCACCACACCCAGCTAATTTTTAAAAATTTTTTTGTGGAGACAGGAATCTTGCTTTGTTGCCCAGGCTGGCATCATATTCCTGGGCTCAAGCTATCCTCCACCTGGGCCTCCCAAAGTGCTAGGATTACAGGCTTTAACCATGGCACCCAGCCTAATCCACATTTCTCAACCTTATATGACCATAGAACCTGTTTTATACAGAACCTTTTACCAGACACCTGATGAAATGTCACTTTGGGAAATGCTGTATTAAGGTACCAGAACACAAGGGATGGAATATATTGGCTCCATTTCAAATTTGACTCCCTTTTGTGTTTTTATCAGAACCAAGATCATTATGCAGTTCTTGGACTTGGCCATGTGAGATACAAGGCTACACAGAGACAGATCAAAGCAGCTCGTAAGTACTTAGTTATTTTTAAATAATCACATATCTGTTATAGGAACACCCTATGCTTTAAGTACTTAGTTATTTTGAAATAATCACATAGCTGGTATAGGAACATCCTATGCTTTTTAAAAGATACACGGTATCATAGTCTGCAGCTGTAACTACATTTAACAGCATGCGTTATATTGTCATAACAAGCAAAAAACCATGGTCTCCCTTGCCGTCAGAATCAGAAGAAAGCAATCCATTTTACATGTAGACTTTCCCATTAGGGGTAAGAAATTAGGATGGGTGTGTGTGTGTGGATACAGAATATTCTCCCAATGGCAAGCTTTTAAAAAATACTTTGCCTCTCTTTAGAAGTATGGCCAGCTGTACTTAGTGGATACTGCCTTTTTCTTTTCTTTTTTTTTTTTTAGGTTATTTTGTAATCTTAGGTCACACCTTTATAGATATCACCCTGTCTTCTGTCCAAGAAGGTTGTCTGATGTTTTATTGTTGTTTTCATTGACAAGGTTAAAATTTGGCATAGGACAGGGTAATGTTGGGACCCCAGTCTTCATATGCCTTATAAAACACCATCCCTTAATGCTCCTAAATGTCCTATGCTTTGCAATCCTGTGGACATAATTTCTTATACACATGATCAGTTCAACTAATAAAGTTTAGTGAAAGAGGTAAGAGATGAAGGTGATCAGTTTTCTATCTTAGGAGAATGGGAATGTTCTGCCCTCCACTCTAGAGAATGGGTATTGAGGTAAGAGAGGGTAAGATTGTGGCCACATGGAAAAGGAGTAGGGAGTCAGGGCCTGTCAAGAAGAGGAGGAATTATACTTGAAGGAAGATGACTGAATAAGAACGCCTATGCTAAAAATTATTAGTCAATACTTAGTATAGTAGATGAACTCAAAATCATCCCCATTACTGCTTACATTTAGGAAAATCACAGGAAATATTTTTTAACAAAGTGAAGGAATTTATCAGATTATTTTAAACCAGATTTGTTTAAAGGCTGGCATGATTCCAGAGAAAGCATATGCTAGTGCATGTGAATAGTTATTCCAGTATACATAAATGCCAGAAAAATCCATTTGCCATGTACAAGTGTTTGCAAAGTTTTACTATATGAAAGAATAGCGTTGGCTGGGCGTGGTGGCTCACGGCTATAATCCCAGCACTTTGGGAGGCCGAGATGGGTGATCACCTGAGGTCAGGAGTACGAGACCAGCCTGGAAAATGTGGTGAAACCCTGTCTCTACTAAAAGTACAAAAAAATTAGCTGGGCATGGTGGCAGGCACCTGTAATCCCAGCTACTTGTGAGACTGAGGCAGGAGAATCGCTTGAACCCAGGAGGTGGAGGTTGCAGTGAGCCGAGGTCGCACCATTGCACTCCAGCCTGGGCAAGAAGAGTGAGACTGTTTCCAAAAAAAAATGAATAGCATAAAAAGACCAAATATGTCTCAATACAGATAAATTTGTTAATTAGAATTGATATATAACTGTGAAAATAGTTTGTGTTTTAAGGTGAAATAATTCTTTGTTTCTCAAAAGATTAAAAATGTGCAATAAATTGCAAAAGAAACATTCATTTGCTTCTGTTAAATTCACTCTCTTTTTTTGAGACAGAATTTCGCACTTGTTGCCCAGGCTGGAGTGCAATGGAGTGATCTCGGCTCTCTGCAACCTCCATCTCCTGGGTTGAAGCGATTCTCCTGCCTCAGCCTCCTGAGTAGCTGGGATTACAGGCATGTGCCACCACACCTAGCTGATTTTGTATTTTTTGTATAGAAGGGATTTCACCATGTGGGTCAGGCTGGTCTAGAACTCCCGACCTCAGGTGATCCACCCAAGTCGGCCTCTCAGAGTGCTGGGATTACAGGCATGAGCCACAGCACCCGTCCTACATCCACTCTTTTTATTGGCCTTGTAGAAATAGATTTTTAGCCAGGCACAGTAGCTCACACCTGTAATCCCAACACTTTGGAAGGCCAAGGCAGGCGGATCACTTGAGGCTGGAGTTCAATACCAGCCTGGCCAACGTGGCGAAACCCCATCTCTACTAAAAATACAAAAATTAGCCAGGTGCGGTGGTGCATGCGTGTAAGCCTGACTACTTGAGAGACTGAGACATGAGAATCACTTGAACCTGGGAGGCAGAAGTTGCAGTGAACTGAAATTGTACCAGTGTAGTCCAACCTGAGCAACAGAGTGAGACTCTGTCTCATTAAAAAGGAAAAGAAAAGAAATATAGCTTTTGAATATGTATTCTCTAGCCAAAAGTTTTGTAGCACCAGTGCAGAGATTGTTAACAATAAGGGTAATTATAACTTACTCTCTACCACCCTTGTGGAATATTCCATCAGTCTTTATTCAGAAAGAAGCTGTCATTCTTGCACCTCTGTCACTATAAAACACAGTTGCTACTCCCTGCTTTCTGAAAATCTTTCTAAAAGTTAAAATGCAGAGTTACTGTTTGCAAATCTGTAATTATTAGCACAAACAAACCTAATGAAAATGGAAGTCTGGTACCATTTGAGGGCCTTTGAGTGCTTGCTTCATATTAGAAGCAAAGTTATTTTTGTTGAGTATATTTTGAATGTCAGTAATGAAAATTAATTAAGTGTGAAGTAGGAGCCGGCTGTGCTGGCTCACGCCTGTAATCCTAGCACTTTGGGAGGCTGAGGCGGGTGGATCACCTGAGGTCAGGAGCTCGAGACCAGCCTGGCCAACATGGCGAAACCCCGTCTCTACTAAAAATACAAAAATATTAGCTGGGAGTAGTGACAGGTACCTGTAGTCGCAGCTACTCGCGAGGCTGAGGCAGGAGAATGGCGTGAACCCAGGAGTTGGAGCTTGCAGTGAGCCGAGATAATGCCACTGCACCCCAGAAACTGGAAATCACCCAAATGTTTAATAACATGGAAATAGATAAGCAAACTGCTATATATTTTGGTGCAGTGTAATACTAATCAGCAATTTTTAAAAGAACAAATTGCCAATACACAGAAAAACATGGATGAATTTCAAACCATGAATAAAAGAAGCCAGACACAGACATACTGTAAGTTACATCTACTTGAAGCTCAAGAACATACAAAAGTGGTGACAGGCATCAGAAAATGGTTGCCTCAGCTGGTAGAGGATGGGAGCCCAGTGGAAAAGGGTACAAGGGAACTTTCTGGATGATGGAAATGGCCTCTGTTTTCTTTTGGGTAGCAGTTACATGAGTGTATATGATTGTCAAAACTCACTGAACTTAATGAATTCTTAAAATCTGGGCATTTATTTTATGTAAATTTTATCTCAGTTGAATCAGATAGATATGATTAAACAAACCAAAAATACCAGTCACTTGGGAAATTAAATATATTCTTTTGAGCCTAGACAGAAATAAAAATTATGCAATAGACTTCTTTTTTCCCACAAAAGTAAGATTACTGCTTTACCAAAACTTAAGGACTGGCAGCTAGAGCTGTACCTTAAGTAAATTCATTGCCTTAAGCTATTCTGTTACTTTTTTCAAAAGAGGGAAAAGATAAGGTGGAAATTCAATTCAGAGGTTTAAAAGTATAGCACAAAGGAAGATGCAGGAAGAAAATAAATAAGACAATATCCCAAAATGGGTTTTATAAGAAGAATAAACAAATACAAGTTGAGCGTCCCTAATCCAAAAATCCAAAGTCCAAAATGCTCCAAATTGTGAGTGCCAGTATGACGCTTCAAAGGAAATGCTCACTGGAGGATTTTGGATTTTCACATTTGGAATGGATGCTCACCCAGTAAGTATAATGCAGATATTCCAAAATCTAAAAATATTTGAAATCCCGAACGCTTTTGGTCCCAGGCATTTCAGAGACAGGATACTCACAACGTAGTGAAATACACAAAGAATTAATCATGGTGGCTCATGCCTGTGATCCCAGCATTTGGAAGGCTGAGGTGGGCGGATTGCTTGAGCTCTGTAGTTCAAGACCAGGCTGGGCAACATGGCAAAATGCCATTTCTACAAAAAATACAAAAATTAGCTGGGCATAGTGGTGCACGCCCATGCTGCTCAGAAGGCTGAGATAGCGCTTGAGCCCAGGAGGTGAAGAAGCCCATGCAGTGAGCCATGATCACACCACAGCACTCCACCCTGGACAGTAGTAAGACCCTGTCCCCCTGCCCTCCCCAAAAAAAGAAACAAAAAAAAGGATGAAAACATTAAAGTTACCGAAGGATTTACTCCTAAAAACAATTATTAGGCCCAGATCATTTTTCAGGTGAATTGTTTCAAGTGTTAAAGAATCAAAAATTCTAATGCTGAATATAAACTTGATTTTTTATGTTGTAATTGGAGAATCAGTTAATCATAAACTGTTTTGGAATAATTCATTTTGTTAAGTTGTACAGTTTAATGTAATCTGAGTATGCAAAACCTAGCAGAGAGCTCAAAAAATCCTACAAACAATTCCTATTAATATAATGAAAAAAAAACCCAGTTAAAATGTTAAAATAATAGCAAATTCGAGAAAAGGGAATTTTTATACACTGTTGGTAGGAATGTAAATTAGCATAGCCACTATAGAAGATAGTATGGAGATTTCTCAAAAAATTAAAAATAGAATTACCATATAGCCCAGCAGTCCCACTACTGGATATTTATCCAAAGAAAAAGAAAACAGTATGTCAAAGGGGTACTTGCACTCCCATGTTTTTATTGCAGCTCTGTTTATAATAACAAAGATAAGGAATCCACCTAAGTGTCCATCAGCAGACTAATGGATAAAGAAAATGTATATGTACACAATGGGATACCACTCAGCCATAAAAAAGAATGAAATCATGTCTACAGCAATATAGATGGAACTGGAGGTCATTATGTTGAGTGAAATAAACTAGGCACAGGAAGGCAAATATTGCATGTTCTCACTTTTGAGAACAGTGGGAGCTTAAAAAGTTGATCTCATGGAGGTAGTAGATAGAATGATAGATACCAGAGGCTGGGAAGGGTGTTGGGGGGAGAGGG